TGATTTAATTATTTAACCCTCCTGTTATGTGCACATTTCAACCATGTTTTTAATGATTTATTGATATATTTAAATATATCAATAAATCACCTACCCAATATTTTAAATTAATTTTTAGCACAAAACATAACTTTTAGTTTTTTTTATATATTTTATTTATTTAATTGCTTAATTTGCATGGAAAAAAAACATTGTCCTAAATTTCTGAGATTATCCAAATATTGCCCTAACACCTCTCTCTCTCTCTCTCTCTCTATATATATATATATATATTACATTTATATACATACATTGTAAGATATGACAAGAAATTCTTGTACAATATGATTGTTGCCAGACATAATAAATTATTTTAATCCGTTTTATGTGCAAAAATACTGGTCGGTCTACAAATGTTTTACTGTGAAACACTGTCGCCACAAATAATCTCAGATTAAAATAATCATCCAGCGAACACTGAGCAAAAATACATTCGTTTGGATGCCAGGAGCACTTTCAATACTTAGCTGAGCTAAATTAATCTAACAAAACATGTCGGTCAAATGGCCCTTTTTACACAAATGCCATTATCGTATAATGAACATTAACTAGGTCTGATGCTGTGAAATTGAAGCAAATGTGAAACTAGAATTATACAGTATAGAGTTAATTTACAGTAATAATATCTGATGTCAATTCGAAGAACAAACAATCAAAAAACAATAATGTTACTATATCTCTAACAATAACTACCTCACAATAAGCGGTCATGCCCTGAAGCCATAGCCATCTAAACGAGGTCATGTGAGATGTATGCAGGAGACGCCCGGCTCAGTGTTAGTGACACAATGATCGTCTCAACACAAGCTGATGTCAGTTTCTCCCATCTCTGCTTTAGAGCATGTGCATGCCAGGAATACCGGCTAATTCCTCCTAGTTGATGACAACAATTGGTAACGTGTTTCAGAACAAAAGCATTAGATGGTAATCACAACTGTGTGTTATTTTGAACATGTCTTATCAGTAACCAGGTGAGATGTGTTTTCTATCATTTCAGAGTATGAGCTGCAGTTTACTAGTTTAAATAGTGTGGTCAAATACTGCCATCTACTGGATAAAACAGCACTGCAAACAAAGATCTTCTTACAAAAGTGATAACACGTGACTAGACCATTGCTTACGTTTTGATTCTTCACTCTAAAACATGCTGGGTTGTTTCAATATGTACCCAAAGTTGGGTTGAAACCCAGCATGTTTTAGAGTGTTCCCATGCAGCTAACAGCTAGAGAATGTTCTCAGAATGTTCTGGCAAAGTTTTGAAGAAGAAAAAAAAAAAGTTCTTTCAGTAACATTAAAGGGGTCATATGATGCTTTTTTAAAGATCATTATTTGGTGTATTTGGTGTAACAGAATATGTTGACATGCTTTAATGTTCAAAAAACACATTATTTTTCAAATACTGTACATTATTGTAGGTCCTCTATGCCACGCTTGTTCAACGTTTTATAGTCTTTAACAATGCTCTCAAAACGTTAGTACAAAAATGCTATTTATACATTGTTTATGGAACCTTTTTCCTAAAACGCTTTAAATGTTTTTTTAAATGTTAATAATAATTAATAATATTATTTATTTAAAAAACGCTTTAAATGTTTTTTTTTAAATGTTAATAATAATTAATAATAAGCTAGACGTTTTGAATATAAAATGTTATTTATACATTGTTTATGGAACTTTTTTCCTAAAACGCTTTAAATATTTTTTTAAATGTTAATAATAATTAATAATATTATTTATTAAAAAAACGCTTTAAATGTATTTTTAAATGTTAATAATATTTAATAATAAGCGAGACCCATAACCTAATGGGAATGTTATTAGAACATATTTTGGTTAGGGGCTGAGCTGTTCGTGAGTGATAAACAGAATGGTTCTAATGGGTTTGGAAAGTTGTGTTAAATGCAAATAAAATAACAAGACTAGCCTACAGATAATCATGTAATAAGTTCGTGTGCACAAGAGAGAAAAAACTTAATATTCATGAGTCAAGTCCTCATCATAAAACCAGCTTTTATCTTTCATCCAATCAAAAAGGATTCGTGGCCGATCATTTAATTAATATTCAATTTCGCCACAGCCTCATTCGATTATATATTTGCCTCTGATCTGTTGGGATTTTGTGGCTCTAGTTAACCCTAAACCCCTGTCTGTGCAGCTAAATTAAGACTGACGTTTAATCAATGTTGTTTTTCTGTGATTTATTGGCGATTCGGAGAAAGAAGAAACTGTGAGGCTGTTCGGTTGACTGCGTTTTGACATCCCAGATAATGAAACGTAAAGAATATCCGTTTTTAGAAGCACACTGGGACTACTTTAAATAGAAAGTCATATAGAAAGAAACTGGATTAAACCATTTAAGAATATAAGTTACCTCACATATTTTAACGGTTTAAGGACTAGCGCGTTTATTAAACTATTATCTTGATGTGCCTCTCTATAGTAAAGTTTCACATAATATTAAAATCTCATCATGGTATCCTAACAAAAATTACCATGCTGTGATCTGACACACCATTGTACAATTTACAGTAACTTACTAGATTTTAAGCAATAATAGCTGGAACAGCTAATTCATACACTCTCAGAAAAAAAGGTACAAAAGCTGCTGTACGTTTTCAAAAGGTACACTTTTGTACCTTTTAGATACTAATATGTACCTTTAAGGTACCAATATGGAATCTTTAGGTACAAAGGTGTGCCTTTTGAAAAGGTACCACCCCAGTGACAGCTTTTGTACTTTTTTTTCTGAGAGTGTACACACTCTCTTGAGTACTTATAGAGTAGTACTGCATCCTTCATATCTCTGAAGAGTCTTTAGTTTGATCAGCTTTATAAAAGACAGATACAGCTTTACACTTCTCTCTGAAAACAGTCGAGCTCTGGAGGCGTGCCGTGGGCGGAGCTAAAGAGTCACTGTGCGTTTAATCAGTTTCCTGGGAATCCATTACTAATAATGATCTACAGTCAATAATGACTGTTTACTGTATTTGCTCGTGAAGCACATACCTTACCTTCTCTTCAGTGTGTCTTTCCTCCAGTCGCCTCTTGTTCTTTGTCTTGCCCTGTTTAGTTTGCGTCTTCCCTCCTTCATCTCTCAGCAGATTGGCTGAATGTGAGTTTCTGAGAGTCTTTTGGTCCACGGGATCTAATTCTACATCACTCCAGACCTAGAGCACATACAATACAATATATATATATTGACACGTTTGGCATAAAAGTCCTGCGATTTTTATTACTTTACTATATAGTAATAGCTAGTCTCACTGCAACTTAACAGAGTGTTGTGAGTGGTTGATATGGTGTTGCTATGCACTTACTAAGATGTTCTGAGTGGTTTTAAGTGTGTTGTTTTGTGGTTGGCAAGTCTCTATAATATTCTGCTTTTTAGATAATGCTGCACGATAAAGACAGTTTCATGCATTCATTAATACAGTACTTTGGATTAGGGGACTCTTCAAATCCAATAGTAATAGTGATGCAACTGCACAACCTTTAAAATCTGAACAGGTACAGTACGCTGGGCATGCTGGCCATTGTACACTAAACGACTGCGGATCACACACTACCAGACTTTCAAGTCATTCCAAACACGACAAACTCATGCAGAAACATGTGGGTTGTTGCTAGGAGACGCGTGATGAATTTTAAAAAAAAATGTGTTCTAGAATCGGTTTAAAATATCAGACATGTTTGATTTCCTCCAAATGGATGGAATTAAAATCTGAAGCTAAAAAAAACAAAAAGAGTGTGTGTCCATCATTGACTACACAATTTTGTGTGAAATATGTCAACTCCAAATGGCCAAAATCTGCAGGTATGATCAATAAGTATGTACCTTTAAGGTACCAATATGGAATCTTTAGGTACAAAGGTGTGCCTTTTGAAAAGGTACCACCCCAGTGACAGCTTTTGTACCTTTTTTTCTGAGAGTGTACACACTCCAAAAAAACAGTGATTTTGTGTTTTTCAAAATTTAAGTCACCAAATTTCATAATTAATGCATTGTGGCAATGCAACAACTGGCCCAGAATTCACACTGGACCCCAATCATCCATCATCACTGATAATTTTCAAAGATATTTTAATTAGTTTGGTTTACCTTCTGTCAAGTTTGCTTCGTCAGCTATAGCTTTGAAAATGGCAGCACAGCTGATTGGTCCTATCAAAAAAGACTCTCTTATAGACCGTTCACAAGTCTAAACAAGTGCCAAAACAGTTCCCCACAGCTGGTGATTCGTTCTTAACCTGAGACTAACCAGGACTCCAGACCGTACGTCATACGTCAATACGACACCCATTTTAATCATGAGTTTATGTAAAGGTTTGACCTGTACTTACCCGAGTCTCTCTAATGCTCCAAGATCCAGATGAATGAGAAATAATCCGGGAAATTAAGGTGGTAAGTAGCAGCCAGTCGTGGGATTTTTGTTCACTGTTCATTTAATCTCATGCAGTCCAATGCAGTGCACAGGAAACAATAAAGCTATAAAGCTAATAAAGCAATAATAATGATAACATAGAACATGTGGGAATGTACACAGCACTTGGCCTGTTCCCTGTGAATTTGCATCGGATAACATTTGATTGGCACAAAAAATGGCTAATTAGGGCTTCACCAAACATAACATATGAGCATTATGTTCTTTTGGTGCAGATGCATGTGCCAAGGGCATAAATGTAAATATAAATTTGAATCAAGATGAAGATTCAAGCCACTTTTTCTTGTTTTATACTGTATCTTACACAAGTATACATATATATTTCCTCACAAACCACTCAAATGTTCTAGCTCATGTTACCAGTGCTGGGGAAAGTTACTTTTAAAAGTAATGCGTTACAATATTGTGTTACTCCATAAAAAAGTAACTAATTACGTTACTTAGTTACTTTTTATGGAAAGTAATGTGTTACGTTACTTTTGCGTTACTTTTTAAATCTGGACAGGGCTTGCTTGTTTGTTTTTAAAATAAAAATCGCCTCTTGTTCTTTGTCTTGCCCTGTTTAGTTTGCGTCTTCCCTCCTTCATCTCTCAGCAGATTGGCTGAATGTGAGTTTCTGAAAGTCTTTTGGTCCACGGGATCTAATTCTACATCACTCCAGACCTAGAGCACATACAATACAATATATATATATTGACACGTTTGGCATAAAAGTCCTGCGATTTTTATTACTTTACTATATAGTAATAGCTAGTCTCACTGCAACTTAACAGAGTGTTGTGAGTGGTTGATATGGTGTTGCTATGCACTTACTAAGATGTTCTGAGTGGTTTTAAGTGTGTTGTTTTGTGGTTGGCAAGTCTCTATAATATTCTGCTTTTTAGATAATGCTGCACGATAAAGACAGTTTCATGCATTCATTAATACAGTACTTTGGATTAGGGGACTCTTCAAATCCAATAGTAATAGTGATGCAACTGCACAACCTTTAAAATCTGAACAGGTACAGTACGCTGGGCATGCTGGCCATTGTACACTAAACGACTGCGGATCACACACTACCAGACTTTCAAGTCATTCCAAACACGACAAACTCATGCAGAAACATGTGGGTTGTTGCTAGGAGACGCGTGATGAATTTTAAAAAAAAATGTGTTCTAGAATCGGTTTAAAATATCAGACATGTTTGATTTCCTCCAAATGGATGGAATTAAAATCTGAAGCTAAAAAAAACAAAAAGAGTGTGTGTCCATCATTGACTACACAATTTTGTGTGAAATATGTCAACTCCAAATGGCCAAAATCTGCAGGTATGATCAATAAGTCAAGTCAACATATGTTTTTCTATCACTTTAACTTATCAAATTAAATAAATTTCAGCTGATTTGTTTTAAAAAGTCAGTTTAATATAATTTGTTGAAATTACTTGTATAGAAAATTTTATTATACTTAAAAATTTAAGGCAGCAACTGAACTTAAGTTTTTAACTTAAATAGGTTAAATATTTTTTTACAGTGTGGCTATGAATTTCAGCAAATCGGGGCAGAAATCTGTGCAAAAGTAATTTAGCAAACACAGAGCTGGCATGCAATTAAAATGATAAAATGCAATTATTTGCACCAGATTTTGCAGCTCTTTAAATATTTTTTTAAAGATTATTTAATATACAGCAACTTTAGTGGCCACATACACTATGTCTACATTGACACTATGCGGAGATTCAGATAAGGAGTGAATTTCTGCACAATGCATTATCAAAAATCGTTCTCAAAGCGTCTTGTCACCCAAAAAAATATTTACAGAGGTAAAACTGGATGGCATTTAAAAAAATCTTTGTTTATTATACACTATGCAATTTTCTGTGAAATCTGCTCAGAATCTGCCTCTGACTTTCAGAAACAAATATCCAGAATAAAAATCAGAGCAAAAGTCGTATAATATATTCCAGCCTTTAGCAAACAACAAGTAACAGCTGGCATGATTACAAATGAATCACTTAGCAGAAAAGGAGTCACTTAAGACCCTACATACATAGGCTGCAAATAACAGGCCTAATAATCCCAGAACATGTAGTGTATATCAACACAGACACATATTGCCTGTATAAGAAGAATAGGTAGACAGATAAAATACAATATAATTCATCAGAGCTACTTTATAGATTATATTATAAAATGCACAGTCAATATTAACATTTCTGCTGATGCACAAATAGCATATAAGCAGATTTTAGCATTAGAAGTGCATTTATTTATTTATTTATGATTTAACTCCATATCCGCAGCAATGGCTATATTCCTGCAACATCAGCAGTATTATGGTTACAATATATTTTCAATACATTGTTTACAATACCTGTGTTGTATAAATGCTACATAAATTCATGATGCATGCTCACGTGAGCCAAATTTGACGTTTATTAATTACAGTATGAACATTGTCAGTGTGATATTATAGTGTCATGGCCACAACATCGATAAAGAGACTTTAAATGAAGAAAAATCTACTCACTGGAACTAATTTGGTAATGCATGACAAGAAAAAAAAAAGGAGAGCTCAAATAAAAATTAGAGTTTTTAGTAAATTATTCAGCATTTGAACAAAAATGAGATTTCTGCTTTAAATTCGACAGGTTTACTTTGGTAATGCATGACAAGAAAAAAATAGGAGAGCTCAAATAATAATTAGAGTTTTTAGTAAATTATTCAGCGTTTGAACAAAAATTAGATTTCTGCTTTAAATTCGACAGGTTTACTTGCATTGCAATAACTGCAATTTCTTCTCTCACAATTATTTTGAATATTTTCTACAGTAATCGACAGTCAAAAATGAGTCAGTACACTCTCAGAAAAAAAGGTACAAAAGCTGTCACTGGGGCGGTACCTTTTCCAAAGGTACACTTTTGTACCTTTTAGGTACTAATATGTACACTTTATGTACTAATATGAATCTTTAAGTGACCAGTATGAACCCTTTAGGTACAAAGGTGTACCTTTTGAAAAGGTACCGC